CAACATTGGTCCACAGGGGGAGCCACAGCGATCGGTCGCATTTTAGCCATTTTGAAGCATTTTTCTGTTGTTATAGCGCCACCCAGTTGCCAATTAGAGTTAAATTTCTCCAGTCACCTTGAGGCGTCCTGTTCTACATATCTACCAAGTTTAGTAAAAATCCATATGGCGGTTAGGCCTAGATAAGAAATGAGCTCTCTAGCGCCCCCATTTTGTTTGATGGGGTCAATAATGGAGGGGTCCCCTCAGATTATGTGTGGTCATATGCCTACAAAGTTGCGTGGTGATGGGTGAAACCCTTGAGATGTTATACACCTTTATGTGATGAGCCACGCCCTCCGCAATATTCATTGCCTTATAGAAGCTCAGTTTTAGTAAGTTTTCCAACTTTTGCCAAGAGGGAACTTTAGATATTGGTCCCTAGATTATGTTCACCCAGTTTCATGCAGATCGCTCAAACTTCCTAGGAAGAGATCCATTTGAAGTGTTTTTCAAAAAATTCAAAATGGCGGAAAATCTATATAAGCGGAAGTTATGGGTTCTTGAGGCAAATGTGTTCCTCATGAGGAGAGGCATCTCTGTGCAAAGTTTCATGTCTCTACCACATACGGGGCATGAGGTATGCCCATTCAAAGTTTGACATTTCAATGGGTTGCTATAGCCCCCCCTTTGGCCAATTGATGTAATATTGCTTCATTGGCATCCTCCCATGACCCTCTACCACTGTGCCAAATTTCACATGGATTGACCAAGTCAGTGAGGAGAAAAACATGGAACACACACACACAGAGATTTCGTCATTATACAGTAAGATAATTATTATTATTTTTAATGATGATGATGATGATGATATCAGTGTGGATTTTTGGCACCTCTGACACATGAGAGTGTGGTTCCTATCCAGAGGAGATCAAAACAAATCCCTTCTCAGAAAATCTCTGGTCTAAAGCCTGGCAGTGTTCTGGAGTTTTAAGTCTCTGAGCTCTCCTCTTCTGTCTGATGTCTGAGTCTCGTCCACCACAGTAAAGACAGACAGTGTGACTCCTTTATTACAGAGGACAGTTGGAGAGAAGGTTATTTTCACTTCAAGGTCATTTCTGAGAGGCTATTAAACTCAAACAGGCTTAACGACGGAGAGTGACTGAGGAGCTGATGTGATTAATCTGTTTGATATATTAATCAGATTAATTATGAAGCCTTTCTTGTCTTTTCTTCTCCGTCAGTTCCGCCTGTGGCTGCTCGGCCTGGGTTTCAGCCTCGCCTACGGCAGCATGTTCACAAAGATCTGGTGGGTCCACACCGTCTTCACCAAGAAGGATGAGAAGAAGGACAGGAGGAAGGTAAGTGCGGCCGGGATTCAAAACTGTTTATGTTCCAGCAGTGAACAATTAAGTCCAGCGGGTGCATCGCTGCCGAGCCGAGCGCGGTTAGACTTCACTTCATCATCACCCCCTTCAAGGGCGAGCTCCGCCGCTGGAGATGATGTATTCCCCAATCATGTGTTATCTTTTTGCATTTACTCTCTGCCCTGCTGCTGCAGTCGGCCCACTGCTCGCCCTTGAGCATTGTGTAGCATCTATTTGTCATGCTGCCTGCCCGCTGAACTCCTCCAGTCGGCCCCAGTGGTAAAAGGCCTCTCCGAGCCCCCCCCACCCCCCTTCCTCGTCTCTTGTATGTAAGAGGACATGTCAGACAGGACGTCTCAGAGCGGATGCTCCTGCTGTGAGGCGAGAGCACAGAGATTCAGCCTGTCACTGAATATTTATGAAGGTCCTTAGTTGGAGGAAGCCTATCAGGCGGGATTATTTTATCCAGGGCTGCGTCAAGTTCGTCAAGTTCGTCAAGCTCCGCCGCTGGAGATGATGCAATATTAGTTCATCAAGTTCACTTTAACCCTTCAGGCAAAGGCAACGTTTGTAACTGTGCTACAGAGCAGAGACCTGCACAGATCCACTGTTAAAATCACACCCATACCCATAAAGCTCAGCACCAGAACCAACCTGTTACTGTCATCATGTCCAAGTCAAAGCTGCACCATGATCAAACCCCCCCAGGCTCTCTTTGACTAGATGGTGAAAACATTCAATCACTGCCAGGTTAGGAAACATGTTAGCATGCTCCTTCCACCACCATCAAACCTCCAAAGGATCCTCCTTGGGTGTCTTGAACTCCATGTAGGAGTCACTACAACTAAAAGAAAAACTGTCACAAGGTCATTTCAGTCCAGCGGCCGCTGGCTGCGAGCAGAGCTAGCTGCTAACTGCCACCGCTGCAACTAACAAACTCCACAAATCCATTCAGCAGCTCCACCATCCACAGTCAGACACACACGGCTGATTATTTACTGCTGAATTACAGCTCACAACTCGCACCAACCCAAACATCCTGGTGCAGACTATTTACTGGAGTTTCCCAGCCTGTTGTTCATGTGGCATCTGAAGATAACTGCGTCAACAAAATTGAAACATAGAGTTTGTCATAGTTTTTATCAGATCTACCCTGCTCTCACTGTCACATGAAGGAGAAACTGCATCTCTGCAAACATTAGCACTGGATGTAAATACTTCATGTGTCCAATATGACAGTAATTTCCTGAACATACAGAGCAGTAGGCTCCACAGCTCTCCGACCACGAGGCCCCTGGCTGTTGCTTTCTAACAAGGACCAGCTGCAGAGTGAAGAATATTCACCGCAGCTGAAAAACCAGAAACTCTCATCTTGCGGAATAATGCAGCAGAATCAATAAGCACTTTATGGTGCTGGACCTGTTCCCACACATCTCTGTGTCGTCTGAATACATAAAGGAACACCTTTATTTATTGACTGAGAGAGGAGGCAGTGTGTTCTCATCAGTGTGGTGCCTCTGTCTCTCCTCCTGTCACGGCCCGGTGCTTTGAGGGCAGATTGAATTGGCTTCAGTTAGTGATGGATCATTGTTTTCTCGTCCAGCTTAGGCTGGTCTATTTATGGCTTCATAAATCCCTCCCTCACAAAATCAGAAAGAGAGGATTTGTGCCTCCTCCTGATCCCTCGCCATGCTGCCGCAGTGACCATCACCACCCCTTTGTTTCCCCGCAGCACCTGGAGCCGTGGAAACTCTACGCCACCGTCGGCGTCCTGCTCGGCATCGACGTCCTGTCCCTCATGATCTGGCAGATCGTGGATCCTCTACATATCACAGTGGAGGTATGATCCCCCAGTGTCTCTGTAAGAAGAGACAAAACATTTTAAATTCCTCCAAAAATTGAATTCATTCATGAGCAGAACTTTATCTGCAACTGTAAAGTATTTGGTGCGTCTAAATAAGAAACTAAATAATAATAATAATGAAACAAGTAGATAAATAAATAATTAGATAAATATTTATGGAAGCTTGTGACTGTCAATATAAAAATAAAATCATTTAATCAAAATAAAATATCAGTGTCTGTTCTGTGTGCATGGAGTGTGACAAAACATTTCAAAATCAATTTTTATTTTCTGAATTACTGTGTAAATGGCAATAAAAATAATAAATAATAATTGAAAATTGATTTTCAGTGTGCTCCTAAACATAACACTGCTGAATGAGAAATGGACGTCATTATTTTCAAACTGGAAAACAATGTGTGACCTCAACATTTCAGTTGGAATGATGTCATAAATTTAGCACATTTCATATTAAAATCTCTAAATGGTCAGATTCTTTCAGGTCTCTTTGTGAAATTTAAAGACAAATCAAATCTAATTAAGTTTCTGCATCACAGATTAAATGTCAGTTTTATATTTATTTGATGGTTCAGTTTAACTGCAAAATTTCAGATAGGAATTTAAAGTGTAAATATTCTGTCAATTTGAAATTGAAAAAAAAAGACAAAACAGTTTTAAACGAGATTTAATTATCATTACAGCAGTCTTATGCTTAATAATTAATAATAATTATAATTTATAATAATAATTATAATTTATTGATTTTATGAATAAAGCTTTGACTATAATTTTGACTATCAGTTAATCTGTTTGTTATTTTTTGATTCATTTTTTAAATCCCACAATAGTGCTATTTATTTGTAACTGGCTCAAAAAAAAAATGAAAATAATTTTTTTGAAATTGAATTTTTTTTTTTTAATCAAATGCACTTATAAGTGGAACTTTATCTACGACTGTAAAGTATTTGATATATCGACATAATTAGAATATTAAAATAAAATCTGTAATTATTGAGTGCAGTTTCAAGTTCTATTTTATGTGCATGATGTTTGTTATTTACATATTTTAATTACTGACAAAGTAAAAAGAATAGCCACGTCAACAATTAAATTTTCTAGAACATTTCTTGAATGGCAGAATTCTCTCAGTTTGGTAATGGTTCAGTGGTTCAAGTTAATTACAAAATTCAATTTGAAATTTGATTGTAGTCAATGTTAAATTAGATTAGATTATGCTCAAGAGTAAAAGGAAATGTTAAGTTGATTCTGTGAATAAAGCTTTCATTTTTATTTATAGAGCTACAGTACGAGATTTTTACAGTACGATAACCGTCTCAGAAAAGGCACCACGGTGTTACAAAATTTATGTCATTGTCTGTCAGAGAGAGCCTTGAAGTTAAATTGGACGGATTATTTTTGGTTGAACAGACTTTTTATTACTATAACTGAAACTTGAAACCATTTTGTTACTGGAAGTGTGTGTAAGAAATCTTCCCTGTTTTGAAAATAACTAAAATTAAGTTTAGATTCTCCGTCTAAGTGTGTTTATTTTACAATATCATAGATAAGCGAATGTACATGGTGTGATAACTGTGAATTTTACTATCACCGCATACCTTGTAATCGCTGTACCGTTACAACCTTAGCTTTAACTAACAATCGAGGCCATCAAAATAAAAATGAAATCTCCAAGTCTGAGAATCAGGAATCCAGTGAATAGTTTGCATAATAAATTACAAAATCACTTACAAAATGAAAAATAATTTAATTCTCTGTCAACGGACTAATTAATTAATGAAATATTTTGATATATTTTCATGTGGCGGTGGTTATGCATTTTGAGGCATGTAAATTATAATGTAAACTGGTTTTAAAAATGTTTTATTCTTAGATTATAATTAGGGAGGCACGATAATATCGGCACGTCATCTTTGTCGGACGATACCAGCTTTAAAATGAACAGAATCAGAATCGGCCAACGTGCCAACATCGGTGTGTCATCAGCATATCGGCAAAACATCCAGTAATGTGCATCCAATGAAAACTGAAATTTCACTTTGATAAAATAATTTCATCTTAATATCAGACGTCACAGGTTTCCATAAAAATAGACTCATCTAAGTAAATACATTTTGATTTCTACTCTTGAAGCTGTGGCGTGTTTCTGTTCTTCACCTGTGTCCTCATGTTGTATGTATGTCCGCAGAAATTCACCACAGAAGCCCCCAAAGGAGACCTGGATGTTTTGATCCAGCCTTTACTGGAGCACTGCAGCTCAGAGAAGATGAACACCTGGCTGGGTCAGTAGAATATCAACCGACTCCTTCATCACTATTTCTGTCAGTTCTGTTTCTATAAAACAATATAGTAGCTCTTCTTCGTGCTTCTCATATCACCGAATCCCAAACTGCTTCTAAACTGACTGCTGTTTCTAAGATCAACAGTCCAGCCTATCACATCAAACTATCTTTCTTTCCATAGCTGATAGCACAGTGGTTCAGCCTCCTGGCGACGCAGGTTCATTACCAAATTATGAGATGTGATTAATTATTTCCAATAGGCTACATCTCAAACAAGTCTCAAGTCATGGTGACTTCAAGACCTGGCACAACTGTCCCCCTGGAAGTCAGAAAATCGGTGTAACATAGAGTGTGATTTGAAAAAATGCTAAATCACTGGTATGGCTTCTTAAAAACTTTGTAACCAACTCTGTGAGCACTGTGTGCACTGAGCTGCAGCACAGACGGTCCCATCATTCCTCACAGCTGCCGTCTCGTCCGTCTCTGTAGGTGTGGTGTATGGTTATAAAGGTTTAATGCTGCTGCTCGGCATCTTCCTGGCCTACGAGACCAAGTCCATCTCCACGGAGAAGATCAATGACCATCGAGCTGTGGGCATGGCCATCTATAACGTCGCTGTGAGTTCACTGAGTTCTGTATGTGTGTGTATGCTGAAGCCTGTGACTGAAAGGACCATCCATCCACCCATCCACCCATCCACCCATCCATCCACCCATCCACCCATCCATCCATCCATCCATCCATCCACCCATCCATCCACCCATCCATCCATCCATCCATCCATCCATCCATCCGTCTGTCCATACATCCATCCGTCTGTCCATACATCCATCCGTCTGTCCATACATCCATTCCCATCCACTTATCTGGGGCTGGATCACAGGAGCAGCAGGATAAACAAAGTATTCCAGACGTCCCTCTCCCCAGTGACAATTTCCAGCTCCTCCTGGAGGACCGTTCCCAGGCCAGATATACTCCCTCCAGTGTGTTCTGGTCCACCCTAGGGCCGCCTACCAGCTGGACGTGCCCAGAAAACCTCTAAGAGGAGGCGCCCACAAGTCATTTTGATCATATTCCTGAACCCTTTTCGACTTAAACGTCCAGTGTGTCGTCTTTAGGGGGAACCTGTTGGCAGAAATGGAATAAAATGCCCTGTTTCCACCAAACCCTTTCAGTCCAGCACCTTTGGAACCAACAGTAACCCCTCAGACATGATACCTAGACCCTCGGTCTGCGTAGTGTTTCCAGTGATGTACCACTGTAGGATGATCTCCGAAATAAATCTGGAGAGGAAATGTTCCTGAGCTCTGAGCCTGGGCAGCTTGCCTCTCTGTCTGGAGATATACATATATATATATATATATATCTTCACCATATGAAGAGGCTGATTAGTGTTTGTGTTTGTGGCTGAAGCTGTTGGCAGCCAGACTAATGTGTTTGTCAGTGGTGTGCCGCTCTGCAGGCGCTGTGTTAGTCTGCAGACTTGGTCTTTCACTTCCAATCCTTCACCAGCACAGCCTCGCTCAGCCGGCGAGTTGACTTTTCCTTCGACCTCTCCTCTTTCGTTTCACGGTCTGCTGGAAAGCTCTGCCGTCCTTGGTGGCGAGGCTCACCTCCAGCCCAATTTGTGGGGCTTAAATGAGGGCGAAGCCGGCTGGTGGGCTCTGCAGCAGCCCGGGAATGTGTGCACCAAATGACGACAGCGTCACGTGCACGAGGCTCTGCAGCGTGCCCAGAAAACACAGAGACCTGAACTGACAGTGCCGTGATGTGTCCTCATCATCAGGAATAAAGTCACATGTCAGAATCCCTCACAGATACATGTTTCACAGTCTGTTCTGTACACACACACACACACACGCACACACACACGCACTGGCTTCTTTTTGTGTGTGAATATAAGTGCAATGATTATTTGATTATTTACGTCAGATGACAGATAATTAATTGTTTGAGTAACTTTTCAGGTAAATAATATTCAGCACCAAATACGACCCTGTTCCAGCCTTTCATTGGTAAAGTTTCTGCTTTTCTAATGCAGTCACAGAATGCTAAATATCTTTATGTGTTCAACTATTAGTTCGACAAAACAATTTGAGTTTCCCACCTCAGGCTGTTGGAAACTGTGACTGGAATTATAATATTTTTTCTAACATTTAACAGACAAAACAATAATCTGAGCAGCCAGACTCCCCCTGGGTCAGGTACAGGTGAGTCTGTGAGCTGTCAAAGTGAAGCTTGGAGGGAGAAAACCGAACTTTCAAACACAGTGAAAATCAAAATGAGCCAAATTTCCCACAGCGATTAGTACAGAGAAGTTGAAGCTCCCCCACAAACAAAATGCTCCGTCCTCGCTTCTTCCTGAGTGTGTCTTCCTGTGCTGCTGTCATGATGGCATAACACACATGAGCCCGTCTCCACCAAACCCTTTCAGTCCAGAACCTTTGGAACCAGCAGTAAACCTTCAGACATGGTACCTAGACCCTCGGTGTGTTCAGACAGTCCTCTTAAATGTGGGCGGGGTTGTTGTCACTCACTGCTCCGTCCAGCACTCGCTGTATTTCCTCATCAGCGGTGACACAGATGGAAGTCTGCACCTGGTTTATCGTCCACAGAACGAGGCTGCACGCCCACATTTTCACAACAAAATAGAACAGGCTGCAGTGAGAGTCTCTCTCCATGGGATATTTAAAAATAGCAGCTTTGTGCATTTAGTCCTTCTCAGGCAAGCTCAGGGGTTTAGTGTTGCTGTAGCCCACAGGAAGTGAGGATTAGAATATATGACCTTCACATAATCCGCTCCAAATTCATCTATATTTTTAAAGTCATTACTAAAAGTGTGTGTCATATAAAAACTAAAGTGATGGTCAAAGTTGTCACAGTGAAATTTAAGGTGTGCTGATGGATTCACGTCATCAACTCATGCATTGAGTAACATTACAAGTTAACGTTCCACCTTAAAAGTTGCCGGCAGTCGGCCCAGTGAATGAAGTAATTTTTTTCTCTTTCATTTTATAGTTGTAGTTTACTGATGTATGAACAGAGGTTACATGAAACCAGAGTGAACGTCCTCTACTGACCAATCAGACTGCAGTGTTCACAGCTCCACCTTTTAGTACCAGATCTGTGTGCTAGGTACCCCAACAGAGGGGGGACCAAACATGGGGACGCTAAGGAACGCTTCTGTTGGGACCATCCACAACTTTCACTGTGGAGACAAAAACAAGACGTCCCAAACTGAACTGAACTGCTCGGTGGACACAGGGTTTTACAAGTTGGTAGATTTTTTTTGATTCACCAAAAAAGTACTTGCTAGGGTCCAAGCCTTGAGGCAACAAGGCCGCAGGAGTTGTTGACAAAAACCTGGGTTTTTATTTACCCAAAAAAAAAAGCATAAAAAATGACAAACCAATAACTGAACAGCTCAGCCAGGAGTCGGCAACCTTTACTATCACAAGAGGTGCCAGTTCACCTCCAGGGCACTTCTAAGGTGCCCTGGAGCAAAGCAACGAACTGCCAACTGCTCAGGGTGCCTGTCCAGGGTCCCGAGGCACTCTGACATCTCTCCATCTAATACATGTACAGGTCCTGTTTGTGCGTGTGTGTGTGTGTGTGTGTGTGTGTGTGTGTGTGTGTGTGACAACAGAGTGAAGGCATTGAATGTCCCCTTCAGAGATTAATAATTAAAGTATGTTCTGTTATCATGATAATGATAAATCTGAGATAAGCTGTATCCAGCACATAATACTGTCAGTGCAGCAGCTCTTTTCCTTTGTGTTCAGTCTGTCTTTGACTGTGACCAGGTTCCTGAAGGATTTTCAGCTGCTCAGTGTGAATATATCTGACACTCTCCCCTCAAGTGTTCTTCAAAGACACACCGCTCTGTGTGTCTATAATTGGCCGGGCCTGTCCGCTCTGTCACGGCGCCAGATGAAGCAGTCGATTGTTGAGCTTTTTTAATGTGTATCCAAGAACAAGAAGTTCTTTCAATGCAACCACATTTCACTCGACAAATCGCAAAGTATTCCGCTCTGCATGACAATTTAGGAGACAAGTGAGGCGTCTGCTGCTGGTTTGAAACGCCATTCTCTTTCCAGCCGGTCTCACACACACACACACACACACACACACACACACACACACACACACACACACACACAAAGTGGCTTTTTAATCAGAAGCATCTCCAGAACGGCTGATTCTGTGATTTTCATTCCTGCTGTCGTATTTTAATTCATCTCTGAGGATTATCCATTATGCACTGAACCCAATTTAAGCCTAAACTGAGTGGGTGAAATGCAAATTGGTTCAGAGAGACAAAGTGTTTATCTCCGTGTTTTCTCTCGTCCTCCTGCTTTGGTCTGCTCTTCCTAAACGACTGGCCTGTCAGACGCACTCTCTCTCTGAAACAAATTAGTTTGATCCTGGTGCTGCGATCTGCAAATGTTGGTTAACTCCAGGATCTATTTTTGGGATCGTCGACATGTTTCAGAAATAAAAAGTGGCTGCCGGCTCCTTCTGGAACAGGAAGTGGTCCATGATTCAGGAGCGCCTTACCCTCCGTATACCCGCCATATAACAAGGACCGTAAATGACTGTTATTGACATGTTTTGCCATTGTTATGGTTTATAACGCGTATGCTTTACATCACACAAGAGACCGACGCTGTCATGCCTCTTTTGATCCCGTGATGCCGGCATGCTGTCTGAAGTCACACACTGGAGCGGTCACATATTGTCGTTTGGTTCAACACATCCTCACTGCGACCTCGTCACAGATCGACGTCTGGTCAGGGACTGTCCACGTCCTCATACGACGTTAATAATGATCAACAATGTCAAAGGCTTTAGAGAAATCAAGACATCACACCAGTGAGTTTTCCATGTTCAGAAGCAGTAAACACGTCATTTGTGACTTTCAGAAGAGCTGTAGTTACTGAGATATTAGACTGGGGTGGAGACGAAATATTAGAGTCTGGCTGGATGGATGGACACACAGACAGACAGGTGGACACACAGACAGACAGGTGGACACACAGACAGACAGGCTGCAGACTGTAGAAACAGTCCATCTCCAGATGAATAACGGTGTTCAGAAATGCTATTTGTTCCAGTGAGGTGGGCGAAATCAACGAGACGAGTTGTGTGAGCACAGAGGACAGGACTGTGTTTGTGCGTCGCCGTGTGTGTGTGTGTGTGTGTGTGTGTGTGTGTGTAATGACACAGCAGAGAAAACATGGCTGCTGCTGGTCTCAGCCTGCTGCTTCCATTCTCCGGTGTGGATGGGATTTTTCACACAGAGGTGACTGACTGTTGATCAATATGTATTGATTTCCAGCCTCACCTCCACCTCGCTCATGTTTCATTTGATTTCATGCTCAGTCTCTGTCTCTGTCTCTGTCTCTTCCTGCCACCTCTGTTCTGTCTCAGTCTCTTTCTGATTTGGATTCAACTTTCTGAGGACGACAGGAGTGAAACCTGCACGACCAAGTCGACCACACACACCACATTTATGAAGCTGTTCTTAAAGCTCCAGTGTGTAGGATTCAGGGGGATATATTGGCATTAATGGGATATATAATAATAAGTCTGTTTCCTTTAGTGTGTAATCTGCTGAAGAACTGTTGTGTTTTCGTTACTTCAGAATGAGTCGTTCGTCCACCGAGATCATCATGTTGCACTGCCATGTTCCTACAGTGGCCCAGAATGGACAAACCAAACACTGACTCTAGATAGAGACATTCACATTTTCGCTTTCTCCACGATGAGCGGTGTCAGAAAAACACTAATTTGTGCTGCTTTATTCAGTGTGTTTAAATCAGCTGGTCTGTTTGTCTTGGAGCAGACGGGCGGCACGATGGTGCAGTGGTTAGCAGTGTCGTTGTTGTTGAATGTGAGTGTGAATGGTTGTCTGTCTCTATGTGTCAGTCCTGTGATAGTCTGGTGACCTGTCCAGGGTGAACCCCGCCACCCCCCGTGACCCCTGACAGGATAAGTGTTACAGAAAATGAATGAATGAAATGAAGAGTTTCAACTGGTTGCAATCTGCAGTTCTCACCACCAGCTGCCGCTAAATCTGACACACTGGATCTTTAATGCAGATCGATGTACGTGTCATTTCTCTGTTTTTGTCGGTAGCTGTTAGGTTGGAGGAGCAACACCGCAGTAAAGTCAGAAAACATGTTCGGCTTTTGCAATGTGGATAAAAGTATTCCAGTATTCCAGATGAACCACTAGAGGGCAGCAGTATTCAGCTTTTATACGAATGAGGAGGTCGTTTGTGTGTTTGGTTTTCAGACAGGATTCTGTCCAAAGCTTTAACTTCTAATTACAACTCAACAAAGAGACTTTAAAGCATAATTATGGTTCATTAGAATTTGGGTCTTATTTTCGTTTGGCCGTCATCTTCATCACTCACAATAACATTATTTATCTTAAGAATAAAGTCTTGTCCTGGTCTGTGGTGTCTACAGTACTTCCTGTTCCTTGGTGACCTGACAGGTACGCAGTGTCTTCCTCTGTAATAACTAACAAACTAAATGTTCCCTCTCCCGCTGCCTCCCTCAGGTGCTGTGTATGATAACAGCTCCAGTCACCATGATCCTGTCCTCCCAGCAGGACGCCTCCTTCGCCTTCGCCTCCCTGGCCATCGTCTTCTCTGTCTACATCACCCTGGTGGTTCTGTTCGTCCCTAAGGTAAACGCAGAGCGCCGTCCTCCTCTCGTCGGCTCCTCCCTGCAGATTACAGCGGCAGTTTAAGTGTCAGACATAATGGATTGCCTCTCATCAGGGATCTAAGTCATCTGAGCCGGTGTAATATATCACATAATGACCTGTAGATTGCCGCTGCCTTGCTGTGTCAGCATCAGTATGTGCTCGAGTCTTCACCAGGCGGCTGTGCTGCTGTCACCACGGGCGGTGTGTGTGTGTGTGTGTGTGTGCGCGTGCGTGTGTGTTAATTTACTCCTCCAGAAACCAGGTGATTATCAAAGATTTTACAGAGAGGAGAGAGTTCAGGGTCGTCCACTATGTGGCCAAAAGTATGTGGACACTGCTGTCCTCATACTGCTGGGTGTGATGATGAAGAAGAACACTGGCCAACCATCTTTCTGCGGACCTTGGGGACACTCTGAAGATGAGTTCCCTGGGAGTGCAGGTCACAGGCGTGTATGCTTTAACCAGGTCTGACAAGTACTGTGGTGCAATGCCATTCACAACTTTATATGCAGGCAATAGCAATTTAAGTTTTCTGCTCTAACCTCTGCCGGAAGCCAGTGGAGTAATGTGCTCATAGAACACGAGCTGCTGCGTTCTGTAACATCTGAAGACCTGGAAAACTGTTCTTTGGCAAACCTGACAGAAGGGCTTTACAATAATCTAGCGGTGATGTGACAAAAGCATGAATAAGGATCTCAGCATCCTTAAATTAAAGGATAGGTCGAATCTTAGTAATGTTCCTTATTCCTGTACGGATGCTTTAGTTTTGCAGGACTGATGATCATCATTTCTGTCTTAGCCGAGTTAAGTAACAGGAAATTTCTAGATCACCATCCCCTAACTGCAGCTACGTCTCAAGTTTAGTCATATCTGACCCATTTTGAAGGATAATAGGCGTAAACAACTGTAAATCATCTGCACAACAATGACAAGAGATCCCAAATGAACGTAAAATCTGACCCAAGGGTGCCAAGTAGAGAGAAAATAGCAGTGGGCCAAGTACAGACCCCTGTGGAACCCCCACGACCAACAGCATGCGGTTCAGAGAATGTGACTGAAATTCTTGTCATTTTTTATGTGATTGCTGCTGATGGAAGGTTGAGACAGACACAAGTAATCACTGCTGCATTTTTCTAGTTTTCCAAATATCTCAGTGTTGTGATCATTTTATTTCTGGCGTTGTATCGTTAGTTGGGAAATGTGTGTATCCCTAATGACATCGACCACAAATATCCTCCCTGCGCAATCTAAACTGTAGCATTTCATTCACTCACTGAATATTTCTCTGACCTCATTTTGTTTCCACCATTTTCTCCTCTGATTCAGAAACTCTTAAACCTCTTAAAAGTCCTCCTCCCCCTCCTAACAGTTTTACACCGCAGGAGCTCTTTTAAGGTCTGAGATGCTCTGTGAATAACTTATATCTTTATCAGGTCTTATCTTTAAGGGGCAATTCTAAGAATGTTATCAAAATTTCGTCTTGCTTCAAATTTACACAGAAGGAATGTGACTAACCTGACAAAAGGTATTTTTTGACCAACATTCTTTGATGAAAGGATTCTCACTGTTTAGAGGTTAGACACTGAATCAAACCAAGAAGGGGAAATGTGGGGTTTCCCCCTGCTGTCCTCAGACAACCTCCATTATATCTTCACGGAATCATCAGCCTGAAAGCATCCTCCACATGATCTCTGTCTGATGTGGTTTACTTGTTGTGTGAGCGAAGCTCTGCTCCTTTCCCCTAAAATGGAGTGAAAGCTGAGGGCAGGTAAAGACATCATGCCCACCAGGGATACTCTCTGTATCGAGTTGAGTTGCAAGTCTTTTCTGATTTTGTTGAGTCGACTTTAAAGTCTTCAAACTTGTGACTCGTACTATGATGTAAAAGTTGACGGTAATCATATCGTATACATTTGCCAGTGCAACTGGACGGAGAATCTCAGCTTTATTTTAGTTACTTTCAAAGGGGAGACTTTTAACATCCATTAACAACATGGTTTCAAGTTCAAGCAATTATAGTAATAAAATGTTTCTTAAACCAACAATAAGCCTTCAGTTTTATTGTACCATGAAAATCTCTAACCGTTGCAACCCTACTGCCCACGACTACAAGTGTGATGAGCACAGAAAGAGCCACATTATTATATGAAAAATAATCTGTGGAGTCAGTTTTAACTTCAACATGTAGAGCTAGTCATTAGCTGGGTTGACCCGAAGAATCACAAAGTATACTCAACATTTAAAGATAGATTCATGCTCTCTAAATATACAATTAGACAATAAGAAAATCTGAAAAATTATATAGTATAAAAAGATTATTTCAAAATCAAATACAAACAGTACCACCGTCCCTGAACATGAAGATCAGACTAAAACAATGAGTGAAGGGTCAATGTGACGGCACAAGCATGGTTAATATCAGGACGTACAATCCTAGACCCCGAATATTCCTCAACAGACACCTGGGCCCAGGAAGAAATAACCATATTAATTACATATAATCAGGTCACAGACCAAAATATGTCAAAGTAAATTAGGCTCAGTCCAAAAACCTGAGGCCTGGTGAACTCCTTCAGTGACAGCTGATCCTTCATGACAACATGTATCTGCTTTGCAGATGCGGCGTCTGATCACACGGGGCGAGTGGCAGTCAGATGCTCAGGAGACCATGAAGACCGGCTCGTCCACCAACAACAACGACGAGGAGAAGTCCAGACAGCTGGAGCGAGAGAACAAGGAGCTACAGAAGATCATCCAGGAGGTCAGACGAGCCTTTTCTCTTTGTCACAGGGTTTTATAATTCTTACTTTCCTTCATATTCAGCAGGTAAATTGCTTCAGTATGTAATAGATTGGATCTTTTGAAGTGGGGCTGTACGGGGTACTTCTTCTTTGGTCAAACTGTCACATCCAAGGTCGCCAACAGATGTGTGTGTGGAGGCAGAAATCTCCCTGCCAAACATTTTAAAACCTGGTTAAATGAGATTAAAACTGTTGGCAGGGACCAAGTCCACCAGATGAATGTGAGCAAGTGTTTTTAGTAATGTGTTTAAACTGACCCTTTGAGCTGTGTTTGGGGAATCAGTCTGAAGCAAGCCCGGTATGTGATGATCCCCGTTCTCCAGTGTTTCCAGACAACTCCCAGATAAATTAAAACATACGCCCACCATGAAAACAGTCTTAGAGGATTAGAGGATTTGTCCCCGGAGAAGATTGTTGAGTCGTTGTTACCGTTTGTCCCCTCAGAAAGAAGAGCGTGTGTCTGAGCTGAGAAACCAGCTGTCTGAGCGCCAGGCCCTGCGATCGAGAAGGAGAGCGTCCACCGTCACCAATCAGAACCACAGCTCCCCGTCTCGTGCCATTACCCAGAGCGACCCCAGGTCCCTGGCCCCTCCTCCGGGGTACCCCGCCCCCATCTCCGACCTCCACCCCGTCCCCACGTCCTTCGGCAACTCGTCCAGCCTCTACCAGCAGCAAGACAGCAAGATCAGCCGAAATAACTGCCACACCAGCCGACTGCAGCTGCTGTACAAGTGAGGAGGCGGAGGGGCGAGGACGGTAATGACATTCAGTACTAAAGTCTGTCAGAGGGGCTGACTTCAAACTCATTCCACCAATCAGCAGAGGCCGGAGGATTCCCAGTTTCCAAGCTGATCATTGTGTCATTTTTCTTTTCTCTCAGAGGAAACAGATGTACATGCATCTTGTTAATGTTAATCATCTAATCTGCCAGTTTATCATGTGCCATCTAAAGTTGGCCGAGCCCCCCCCCGGCTACAGCTGCTAACTCGTCAGCCTTTCCATTGTAACAGTGCACAGTTTACAGTCATGGTCGACATGTTCATGTCTGGAACAAAAAGACCTGACCTCTAGATCTCAGAGGACAAAAGCAGCCTCTCATTTTTAGCAACTGTTAATTTTGAAGAAAAAGACGATATAATTAATTAATCCCTGAGAGGAAATTTANAATATGATACACTGATATATTTACTCAGATGTCGCATATTCTCTGAAAAATGCAGAGAAGTCTGGAAATTAGGGTATGGAAAAGTATGGAATTTTGAAATTCCAAATGTGTAGGAACCTGAGTGTCTGACGTAGACATCAGCGACCAAGCTGCGGTATTTGATGACTGCACAATGAGAACAGGATGGTTAATCACATCTGGCCTGACAGAAGCATGTTTAGAAAAAAAGGAAAAGTAAGCAGTAAATCCAACAGAAATTCAAATACGAGCAGCACCAGAGTTTGGACTAACACTGCACATGACACAGATTGCTGTTTATCTCGTCTGACTTGCTCTCTTGCTAAAAGTGTCAGATGAAACTCCCCCAGGGTTGGTTAATGACGGAGGCCATCACACTGCCTCAAGTTCAGTTTGTAACAATAGCTCACACATTTCCTCCACAGCTATAAACAAACACAGAGTTTCTGGTCTTGCAAATAAAACCGACAGACTGGTATCAGATTTCCCCCGTATTATCCGCCGCAGCATTTCACTTCCCTTTGTGTTCACTCTTCTGCTTTTTTTGGTCTCACTTCCAAATATAGCTTTTTGTGGGGATTTTGTAGACAAACAGGAAGAAACTGTTTCAATGAAAGGCTTTTTCATACTGAAAGCAAAATTGCAGCATGTGCTTGTCTGTCGAGAGAATAACAGGGATAGCAACATGGGGCTTTTGGTTTCTCATTCCCTCTTTACATGTGAGTTTTTTGAAACATGCTAAAAATAGGCAGTAAACTCCTTTCCCACAGCCAGTGGATTGTGTAGCTACCATGCAGCAGACGAGCATGCTTTCTGTTCTCTAACTGGTCACTTTCAGCGTCACATATCCCCTGAAAAACAGGTTAGTAAACAGTAAAGGTTCCTTTTCGTCTGTTACTCATTGAGCCTCTACGTCAAACTTGGTTTCTGCCTACTTTTGAAGTGCTCCCAAACACTACGTGGATGGAGACGGACAGTATTTTGTGATCCTGCATCATTGCAATGGACTACTGCAGAGTCACCTGTCCTGGGAATGAATGCCAATTGTAACCTTTCCCATTTAAAACAAAAGCAAGACATTAGTTTGGGACTGTCAGCTTTAGGTTACTATCAGGAAACATGGGGTGGCTTTTATCGAGTGACCAAAGTCTTTATTAAAACAACATGGGTTTGTTTGGCTGCACTGTAAACAGACACACCAGCAGCTTTTCTATTTTATTTTTGACAAAGTAGCTGCTCAACCATCATCATCCTCACTGCGACCTCGTCACATGTCCACGTTTGGTCATGGACTTTCCACGTCCACATATGACGTCCAAGGTACCCTGGGTGTGTTGGTTGT